CCCTAGGGTCTCCAAGCAGTCTTCCAACTCACAGAGGACTAATTCTGCAGCTTCCAGTGTTTCCACCCTTCCCAGTTCTGGGATGGGCCCCACTCCTCTAAGAGGTACTTTACCCTAGACAAGTCCCTACTAGGGGCTCCCAAATTGGAAACCCCACAGCTGGGGAGATAATAACAAGTGAAGCTCTACCCTATGTCGCTACATCCACTGGGGCCTCCCCACCATCCACAGGGGAGTTCTGGGCATCTACTCACCATCTCTAGGGGCAGCCCTCCCATAGGTTGCACCCATTTTGACAGATTTTGGGTTCAGAGGTCCTGCCTACTACCATCAGATGTAACTCCAGGGAGGAGAAATCCTGGGGCAAAATAGCTCTAAAACCAAAATCAGTCAAAGTGAGAAATAAAATTTAAAACCCATTTATTGCTTACAAACTGTGTTCTGGGGCTCTTCCTTGCTCTGGCAGAAGCAAGCAAGACCTCCCCTTAACCTCTCAGGTTCAGATAAGCCCTTGGTTGCCCAGGTAATTACTCATTGATATGGAGAGAAATCACTCTCCACCCCGGAGGAACACCTGTTGATATGCAGATGCACTAAAGTCAGGTAAGATATTCTGGAAATATTACAATTTTACCCACATCCCCTAACCCCCTGAAACAGCTTCCTCACTCCCTCCCTTGGCAAGCATTTTCAGAGTACCCACCAGGTGCCTGGTGCAGGGCTGGGTGCCAGGGACCCAAAGGCAATGAGCCATGTGGTCTCTCACTCCACAGGGGAAAAAGTCCTCGGTGGGTCTCATGTTTGGGACCACGTCCTTCTTCTTCAGCAATAGTTTCCGAGAGCCAGAAAGAGCTAGCAGAATCTAACTAGAGACAGGGCCCTGTCCAGCTTCTCTCTTCCCAAGTGAATGCCACACACTGACCTGGAGCCCTCTCAATTTGTTCAACACCTAACAAATGGTTAAGAGGACTCTGAGCACTTTTTCTTTTCTGTTTTGGTTAGGAGTACATTTCTAAGCACGACAAACATGGGAAGATCACTCGGAGTGATGAGGGATTATAGGAAAGGGGGAGAATACCATCCCCTCCTTTTCTGAAAAATAGAAATTTCTCATAGAAACAGATATTTTTGTAATATTGCTTTTTAAAAGTTTTAGTATGGAAAAATTTAAACATGCGAAAAGTAGAGAGACTAGAGTGTGAATGCCCATGTGCCCTCTGCCCAGCTTCAACAATGATCAGCCCGTGGCCTGATCTGTTTTCACACACAGCTCTCCTCACCTGTATGATTTTGAAGCAGATTTGATATATTGTTTTATCTGTAAACATTACAATATGTAGTTCAAATAGATGAGGACACCTTTAAAAAACGTGATCACAATTAATTCACCTAAATTAGCAAAAATTCTTTAATATCATAAGCCATCTAGTCAGTTTTTATATTTCTAATTGTCTCATAAATGCAACTGTGCATTTTTTACAGTTGATTTGTTTGACTTAGGGTCCAAATCATCTCTACCAACTTTAATTGGTTAGTTTGTCTCTTAAACTCTTTTATTCTGTAAATTTCTCCCTTGCACATCCCTCTGCCTTATCTTATGCTTGCATCTGTTGAAAACCTGAGAGCCTCACCCAGTCGATTCTGGGGACTGGATGCTCAGGCTGTTGCACAGCGTCCTCCCTCCTCTGCTTCCCGTAATTAAAAGTGGGACCTAGACGCTTCTTCACATTCAGGTTCGGTTTTTCTGTCCAAATGACTTCACAAATGGTAGAATAATTTCTCTCTCTCATTTTTTTGTATGACATTCTCTGTAATGTCACTGGGGTTTCTGAACCCAGTTGGAGCCTGTAAGTGAGTTCCTCTCAGATTAACTAGAGCCCATTGTTTGTCTGGTGGAACATTGACGTTGCTGAGACAGTAGAGGAGAGGCAGGGGGTCTCTACCTGACGTAGTGCTCAGCCTCTCCTTTAAAAGACATTGAATAAATATTTTTAAAAATCTCTGATAGAAGGGACAGCACATTTTTCATGCCTGGGGAACCCACCTGTCGGGTCCCATTTTACAGACGAGGCAACTGAGGTTCAGGAGATTTAAGTAATTTGCCCAAGTCCACACAGGTGGTAAATGACAGAATTGGAATTTTGTTTTAGGACTGTTCTTTTCACTTTATAATAAGGCTTCACCTGTGTTTGCAACATGACTTCCCATTCTTTTCTTTGTATCTTAAGTGTTGCAGTAAAACCAAACCCCCCCTCATTCTTCTTTGCTGGACCTCAAACTTTCCCACCTTTATGTCTTTTTATATGTGGTTTCCTCTGCCTCCTAGAATGACCTAGAAGACATCTTCACCTTTGTAAATCCTGTAGCAGCAACACCATTGCATCTAGGAAACCGTCACAAAGATTCTCCCCTGGAAGAGATGGGTTCGTCTAAAGACCAAGAGCAGCCCATACCTTGTTTATGTTGTACATTTTATTACACATATTTATATCTAGGTCTTCCTCACCTAGTGAACAGCTGCCTGGTCGAAGCATCTCTGTACTTGCTCTTTTATGCCACACATAGTTTTGAGTGTCTTCTATGAGCAAGGCCTTGTGGGAGACACAATGATGAATTAGACACAGAAAATAAGTATGGCATAAAGGAGCAAGTACAGAGATGTTTCACCCAGAACTGTCTATTTCTAAGTAGCAGAGACTTGAAAAAAACATAACATTAAAGCCAGAGATGTGGAAGATGGTGCAGCTTTGTTTTACCTTGATTCTGTGTCTTTGTTCCTTCATCCCATGTAGGGTGCTCTCCTTCACATACCATGTGCTTTCGGCCATTTATAGCTAACACTTTCTTCAAGACCTGGCTCAAAGCCTAGCCATTCCTAAAAGATTTCTCTGGCCACTGTGGTTGCGCCTTACCCAGCGGTCACAGTGCCACACAGATTGACAATTGCCGAACAATTATCAAATCATTGATCATCATTGTCAATCATCAAACTGCCACTGAGTACCAGGTATATGAGAAGCTGTGCTGTGTGCTGTGGGGGAGGTCAGGAAAAGATTTGCAGGAAGGTGGGATTCAAGCAGAGTCTTGAAGAATGTGTTTTAATGAAAGAGATGGAAAGGATAGGGAAATAAAGTTATGCATGATAGCAAAGAGTTCAATTCCTATTTCTTTCTCATGAGTGAGTAACATTCTATTTTGTGTGTGTGTGTGTTCAGGACCCTCATGACTGATATAGGCACTACTGCAGTGGAGTGTTACAGTAGGGGAGGAAACTGGGTTCAAATACAAATAGAGCCTGGGCAAGGGGGAGTTTATGACTAGGGAGCAGGTGGGAGTCAGTGGATGGAAAACTGCTAAGAGGGAACAACAGGAATAAGATTGGGCTAAATCCATCTAACAGGATTCTTGCTCACGGCAGGCCACGTGACCAGGCATTACCTTGGGGATGCTGGAAGATGAGTGACCTGATCAGAGACCTGTGTTGACCAGATATGGAGGGTGGTGGGTTCTGGTGCAACTTAGCATGGTTCTTGCTAAAACCAGATTTTACTAGGAAATTTAGAGATGGGCCTAAGAGAAGGTTCAGGAGTGTCACTCATGATTGGTCAAAGAATCTCTGTATCATTTAAAAATTATATTTAGTTTATGCTAGTCAAGATGATCTGTTTGTAGCTTTAGGTATTTACTTTCTTTGTTTTGTTTTTAAATGGAGGGAAAGCATATTTAGCTTTCAGGAAACTACATGAACCTGAAACTGATAGGAGGCTCTTCTGCCAAAGAAAAAGGCCTTTACTACCACCTGGTGGCCGTGTCTTCTTACAGCAATGTTCCCAAAAGCAGCCCTAGAGGAGTCAGTGTTTGAACTTTGCAAACCTAGAGGTCGCTGAGACTGTGGTGGCAGTAAGAGCCACAAACAGCTGTGTCCTTTCCCTCAGTTCCCTCTCTCTGAAGCTTTGAGGTTGAGAATTAGCTGCTAAGGGAGGCTGAGCAGGGAAAACAAAGTCCATGTCCTCACTGGATCTGTGGATTTCCAAGCCTGAAGTGAAAAGCCAGAGGGAAGCTTTGCATTGAGTGGAGTCCTGATTATCACATTAGACTTGTCTTTTCAAGGCCAAGACAAAGGGCTTCTTTGTTTCACGGCTAAGAGTGGTTCAAAAATCCATGGCATTGCTCAGTATTTGTCCAAAGGGCAGGGAAAGTGCAAATCCAGATAGTGGCATTGAAGGAACAAAGAAAAAAATATGTGTGTCTTACTTGCATCCCGTTGCACGCAGCTCATTCAATAAACATGGTTCCATTGCATAAATGTATCACGAGGAAAAAATGAGGGAGAAAGAACGCATGACGACTCTGTCAAAGAACAGGTTGCATTTGGATCCTGTCTTACATGAACAAACTGAGGCCAAATTCAGGGGAGGCACGAGTCCAGGTAAAGTTACCAGTAGAGGCCCTTTAGTATTCAAAATAAATCTCATTAAAAAAAAAAAAATCTTAGAAAGTGTGAAGTTAGCAGTGACAGGACTGGAAACCAGTCCTGGCCTCCTGACCCAGACCCAACCACGGGAGCAAATCATGTTTCCTCCTGTTCTGTCTTCCACCCGCTGCAGGGAGGGGTGGAGACTGGTTCCCTCAGGGCCTCTTCCCCAGCCTTCACCCTCCTCTCTTTTCTATGAACCCCGTCTCTGCCTTTGTCGCCCCAAGTAATGCCAACCTCTGATTGCTGCCTGGCAGTCTGCCCAGGAGTGCACATCCACTGACTCAGTGATCTCTCCAGTCTCCGTCTCTATGTGCATGAAGGTTCCTGAGAGCCGGGTGGGGGGTGGGGGTGGGGAGCAGGGGCCTGGCCTGCACCTGGCCTCACATACCACAGGTGGCAGGGCCGGAGTGGGAACTGGATCTTTGACTCAAGTCCAGGCCCATCTCCATTATATTTGCTGCCTTTCAATTTCTGGCTTCCCGTTTTGGACTATGACGACTGCCTTGACTCTTTATTTTTTCAGTATGAAAGTGTTCAAGACGCCCACGAGTGGAAAATGCAGTCTCCGCAGCCAAATCAAACTTCGCCAGATTCCTTACAGCTGTGAGCGTTGAAATGACTAATGAAAGCCCTCTGCTGCCGGTGGAACTTTGACACACGGCCCTGTTGCTGCCACTCACTAGGACCTGGCCCTGTGCATTTACATACTGGATGTTACCCCAAAAGCCCCCGACCAGGGGATTTCCGGGATGTAGTAAGAATGCGGCTCTGAGTCTTGGAAGGTGCCCTGCATGAGCACCCGTCCTGCAGGGCAGGCAGGGGACATTTCAGACCCCACCCTTCCCTTGTCAGGGGACCTCCTCCTGGGGAGATGTCCAGATTCCCAGATCTGTTGGCCAGGGTCCTGCCTGCCAGCTATGGCTGGAGGTGCTGGGGACCTGCACACCTGGAGCTTGGTGCCTGGTTAAAGGCAACAGGCACAAACACATGGATAATTCAGTCAGTAGCAAAGGTACGAGGGGCATTCTGAGAGCTCAGAAGAGGGGTGTCTAATTTAGGGGTGGCCAGGAAAGGCTTCCTGGAGTTGGCAGTGGCTGAGTTGAGTCTTCAACAGTTTTTACATCAGTTCCTTTTAAAATAAAAAATCTGGTTTCAAAAGTAGTACATCTCATTGTGTATCATTTAAACTTTATAGAAATATGTTCCTTTATAAATAAATTCAGGAATGAAGAGGAAGAATGGACACTTGATCAGTAGGGTTTCCACTCAGTTGGACTTGGAGCTTTCGGCCCGAGAGGGGAGTTGTGTGTATGAGTGTGTGCGTGTGCACAGGGTGGAGTAGAGCCAAAAAAAGGGAGGTGGGGACTTGTCCCATGGCCAGACCCTCTTTGCTTTAACACCCACCTGGATAGGAAATCGTGGGCCACCCATGGGCACCCCCTCTGCACCACGGGACTTTGGTCTTTGCAGCTGGATTTTCCAGGTTCGGTCTTGGCTTTTGCTGTCTTTTAACTTTGGAGTCTCGCCTCTGCCCGCTCCTCCAAGAGGTTCATTGAAGTGTTTTCCTAAATGAAATTGATCTCTCCCTAAAAAGAATTACAGGACCAGGTTAAGATGTTAACAATATCTAACCCGCTAAAATGCCGGTAGGAGCTCACATTTACTCAGGACTCTTCTTGCACCAGGTATGTGTTGAGAGCTTCTTTGTCTCATAACATGAATTCCCTCAATAACTTTATGAAGTAGGTGTTTTATTATTCCTGTTTTACAGATGAGGCATCTGAGGTTGTACCTGCTCAAGCTACACAGCTGGTAGTTGGCAGAGCCCGGCCTCAGACCCAGGCCTCTCTGACTCACACCTCTACGCTCATGAAGACGGTGATCTGCATTATTTCTCAAACATATTTGGATGCAAGTGTTTTTTAATTGTACGCCCCTCATGTCTCAGCACTATTATTATCATTGCATGAGCCACAATTTGGGAAATGATACCCCAGGAAAATACTTTGCCCTGTCTGTGAAAGAGAGATAATAATGCAATCTCAGTGTTGTGGTGATAAAAGATGTTTCAGTAAATGGGTGTTGAGAATACTTACCTTACAACAGGAATGTGTGTATTTTAAAAATAATGGTTGAAATGTCCTTGAAATGAAGCAGTGTTTTGGCTGAGATGACAACGAAGATGACAGTTACTAAACCTGGAGACACTCGGGCCCTGGGGCAGGGGCAGGGCACTGCCTGCTGGTCTCCCTTCCCAAAGGGTCCCTTGGGTCCCCTTCCTTCCCTCTGCCCTCCGGTTCTGTCCCCCATTCCTCTATTTGGCTTTTCTCTTTTCCGCAAATAGTGAGTCAATTACCCGCGCCCAGGACTGGTGTCTTGCCTTGAAGCTGCTTTTGCCCCTCATGTGGGCCCCAGAGCCCTCCTCTGCAAATTTGACTGTGTCCCGAGCCCCAGCGGTAGGCCGGACCCCTGGTCAGACACCGTAACCTTGCTGCGGCCACCTGCCCGATGGCCAGGCCTACATCTGCCCAGAGAACAAGCTGCCACTTCCCCACCACTCACCAGTTCCAGGACAGACCACCACCTGTGGCAAGAAGGACCAAGCAAAAGGTGCCCTAGCTGGCCACACTCCCCGGTCACTGATTTGGACAACTCACCCTCCCCCGAAGGGCGGCATGTCAGCCTGCTCAGTTCCGTACTGGCCCTCTGGCTCCACGGCTGATGCCCCAGGCTGGTGGGCCTGCCAGGGACATCGGAGCACTCCTTTTCTTCTAGGCACCAGCTATACCCAGCTGTCGTTTTACTTTTCGAATTTCCATAGTCCTGAAAGATGTGTGCATTTGGAGAAAGCATAATAAAAGCAAAACAAACAAAGACAGGCACCCAAGCCCAGCTCCCTATTTCTACCTGGGAAAGCATTTTTATTCTTTTCAATAATTAAACACTACTAAAAAAGAGCAATCCTTTCAATGATTTTGCCCTTGCACCTGTGGGGTGGCTGCTGTTAACTCTCATTTCATACATGGAGAGATCGAGGATCAGAGGTTCAGCCTTATACTAATACCATCCAGTGTCTGTCCCTCTGCCAAGTGCTGCCCTTGGACCTCAGGCCCTCAGGCCTGACCCAGGGCTCAGGGACCATCAAGGTTGGGGCCCTTTGCTCCTCAAGTGGCCCAAACTGACAGTATAAGGTGACATGGTGCTGGGCTCCCAGTTTCCTCCCCTTTGCCCTCCTCCATCCTTCTGTTCCAAGGTTGGGCCCTCCTGCTACTCTTTCTCATAGCCAGTCCATGACCCACCCACCCATTCACTTGCCTTTTGACAAAGTACCAGTTGAGTCACACGCTAAGCACTTTGGAGATACGTAAAGAGAAATGTGAGATGCAGATCTTGCCCGTAATAAACTGTTACAGAAAACTATTCTGACACTTGTCAAAAACGGGAAGGAAGACTTTGATTCATGATTATAGCTGTGGGTAAGAGAAATTGAACTTGTCTTTTAATACAACGATGGGGATTTGTAGCCACTGGGCAGGACAAAGGAGTGGATGAACTTAGTTAATAGTGCAGGTGGAGGGAGAGGCGTTTGCTTGGATATCAAGGATGGGGGCTCCCTGTTGACTGCCTTAGCGGGATTTTTCACTGAAACTGGGCTCAGCAGGCCATGGGAGGCCTGGTAGAGAAGAGGGTTGGAAGGACCCTGACTGAAGTTTGGTCAAGGAGGGAGTTTTCTGCCAGCACACAAAGGAATGTGAGAGCCAGGGCCCAAACACAGGGCCCAGAAGGTGAGAGTCAGGGGTGAGCAGCATGCCAGCCACAGATGCAGCTGTATCTCAGACGGGTGCCAGTGGGGGAATCTGGGCTATTGCAGCCTCTGGCTTCAGGGCTGACCTCTGGCTGGACTTCACCCCAGGTTCGTTCATTTCTTACTACCCTGTATCATCCACATGCTTTTCTCTAATGCTTCGCAAGTCTGCATTTCTAGGATTTGATACTTTTGACCACAAGTGAGACTGGAAAGTACAAAGGCTTTATTTAAATCTTGGACAATGTTTTGACCTCATGTTTCTCTTTTAAAATATTGGGACAATACCATTTATGGACTGAATTGCATCCCCCAAATTCATATACTGCCACCCAATGTGACTCTATTTGGAGACAAGGCCTCTAAGGTGAAATGAGGTTGTAAGGGTGGAACCCTTATCTGATGGGACTGGTGTCCTAGTCAGAAGAGGAGGAGATGCCAGAGACCTCTCTGTCTCCCTGTGCAGAGGAAAGGCCATGTGAGGATAGCGCAGGAAGGTGCTGGCTGTGAACTGGGAGGAGAGACTGCCAGAACCCAAATTTTACCGCACCTGAATCTTAGTCTTCTTGCCTCCAGAACTGTGAGAGAATTCCTGTCGTTTCAGCTGCCCAGTGTCTGGTATTTTGTTAGGTAATAGTCTGCCAGAGCAGACTAATACAGTGCCACCTCATGGGCATCTGAGAGCTCAACATAAATAAGTTGAGGGCCTAACAGCAAACCACACGTATTTGTTAGCATATTCCCATTCCTCCCAGTGTGTAATTTGTGAGGTGGTAAAGGGCCTGTTTGACACCAAACATCTTCCTAGTGTGATGATGGCATGGGAAATTCATATAGTAGAATTATTCCTTTAGATTCAGGCTTTGTTTCTCCATTTTGCAAGTAGCAGAACCTTTGCAAAGCAGGATAAATTAAAAGGGGAATTCTCTGGAAGTATGTTGTTACGGGTTAGGGTTCCTGGTTTCAAGCAGCATAAACTAAGTCTGGCTGATATCAGCTGAAAAGGAACAGTGAAAGGATATTCCCTGGGGGTGGAGCCTTGCTGGGCAAAGGTGTGTGAGGACAGAAGGCCACAGTATGGGGTACAGGCCATGCTGTATGCTCCTCAGACGCCTCGAGCACTGGACTGCACCAGCATTGCTGGGCCATCCTCCAGAAGGAGTGCCTTGTGGTCCCTGCTGTGCAGAGTTATCTCCTGACAGATGCAGGAGCAGAGTTATCTCCATGGCAGAGCCTACATCATCCATCTGTATTTCAGCTGCAAGGGAGGCTGGGAAAGTGAGTATTTAGCATTTTCAGTGGAGCTGGCTTGGCCCTGCACCAAGATTTGTGAGGTAGGGAACTTCCGCGAACAACAGAATGAGGTGCCAAATGCCAGATGGCCAAAAAGAATGCAAAGTTCCCCCATAGATACAGGGGAATCTTACCAAGCCCCAAAATAGGAAGTGTAGCTTCACTCATCGGACGGAGAATCAGGAATTGGAAAGCTAGGAGCAACCTTACTCTGCATGCGTCTCTCTACTCTTTCTTTCTCTCTGTCTCCCTGAAGACTGGATTTCCCTAGTCTGCTTGCTCATGGGGAGGCCCACCTCCTTCTTGGCTGCTGGATATTAGTTGTCTGTTTCCCTTAGAACACCTGTTCTATCTTCCAGAAACACCTCCCAATCCCATCTTGAGGGCCTTTCCTCTGTCCACTCTTGTCCTGGGCAGGCTTTATCCCCAGCCCTAGAGATGAACCAGATGACCCAAGCCCACCAGTCACTGAATCCCCTTCTGATTCAGGGGTGGGCATGTGACCTGCAACAGCATGGTAT